AACCCATCAGACCAGCCCCGTCCCTGCCTCACCCACACCGGGACCCCAACCCATCACACCAGCCCCGTCCTTGCCTCAGACCCACGTGGGACCCCATCCCATCACACCAGCCCCGTCCCTGCCTCAGGCCCACATTAGGACCCCAAGCGATCACACCAGCCCCGTCCCTGCCTCAGACCCACACCGGGACCCCCCACCATCAGACCAGCCCCGTCCCTGCCTCAGACCCACACCGGGACCCCCCACCATCAGACCAGCCCCATCCCTGCCTCAGACCCACGTGGGACCCCAACCCATCAGACCAGCCCCGTCCCTGCCTCAGACCCACACCGGGACCCCAACCAACCCATCAGACCAGCAACCCTTCGCAGCCGCCCCAAGGCTCTGCTCTGGAGAAACCCATGAGGACGACCACGAAACCAGGCAGGCAGAGGCCCGACAGGCTGCCCCACTGAGGGCAGACACCTCCACCCCGACCTGGAGGACAACGGCCTCACCTCTTGGACTTCTGGCCCTTGGAGGAGTTCCTCGTCTCTCTGTCCCCTGTGCTGGAGCTGGCCAGGGTGTCTGGTGTCCAGGTGGAGCACGTCCCCACGGGCAGCTCTGCGGTGCCAGGAGCTGTCAGCCACGGGGCCCCAGGGCCACCCCTCCCGACCCCGGACACCCTCCCCACCTTGGGGCCGCTTGCTGTCTTTGCATATGGCGTCAAACGGGTTGGCGGCAGGCTCCTCCTCCCCCTGGGCCACGTAGTCTGTCCTCATCAGGGACTTGCGGTAGACAAGCATGGGGTTCATGTCCCCCTCCCCAAAGACAGGCACGCCCTCAGGGATGGAGTCCTGGAAGTGGGCGAGTCTGCGGGCAAGGGTGGATGTGGCAGGGGGATGTCAGGAGACCCGGCAAGATCCCCAGGAACCCATGGGGCGCCCGGTGTCCATCCCCTGCTGAGGGCTAAGGACCATGGAGCCATGCTGGAGGGGTGCCACCCAGTGGCCACAGGTCGGTCCTGCGGCCCAGAGCCCAGCGCCCCTCCAGGACCCCAAGCAGGCCTGGGTCAGCCCAGGGAAGGCAGCCCTCAGCAGGGTCGTCCCCACCGGAGAACCCTCCCGTTTCTGCATCCTCCTCCCCACAGGGCTCCCACCCCCGTGTCCCCAGGAGCCCGTCCCTGCCCCCACCGCCCAGGGGTCCCGCCTTCCCGGGTCCCCAGCGCACTCACGCAGCTTGTCGCTCGGCTGGTGGGATCTTGCAGGAGAACTCGGACAGCACGAGCAGGAAGCTAAGGTTGGGGAAGCGCTGCCCAGCCTCCTCTTCAGGCACTGGGGACTCAGAGAAGGCAAAGGCCAGCCCACGCCTGGGGACAGGTGTCCAGTGGACAGGTGGGGTGTGGAGCAGATGCACAGACGGGGAGGGGGTGGGGCGTCAGGTGGGGCTCACATGGGAAGGACGGTGTCAGCTGAGGCCCGGGGAGGGGCAAGGTGCCAGGTGGGGCTCACCTGGGGGAGCGGGACATCAGGTGGGGCTCACGCGGAGGACAGGGTGCCAGGTGGAGCTCACGTGCAGGGCGGGGGTCAGACCGGGGAGCACGGTGCCAGGCAGGGCTCAGACCAGGGAGTAGGGTCAGAGCGGGGAGCACGGCGCCAGGCGGGGCTCACGTGCGGGGCTGGGGGGTCAGAGCGGGGAGCACGGTGCCAGGCGGGGCTCAGACCAGGGAGGGGAGTCAGAGCGGGGAGCACGGTGCCAGGCGGGGCTCACACCAGGGGCGGGGGTCAGAGCGGGGCGCACAGTGCCAGGCAGGGCTCACGTGCGGGGCAGGGGTCAGAGCGGGGAGCACGGC